ACAGATCACATGAATTTACTTCTGTATAATGGATCACATGAATGTGCTTCTGTGTAACAGATCACATGAATGTACTTCTGCGTAACAGATCACATGAATTTACTTCTGTATAATGGATCACATGAATGTGCTTCTGTGTAACAGATCACATGAATGAACTTCTGCGTAACAGATCACATGAATTTACTTCTGTATAATGGATCACATGAATGTGCTTCTGTGTAACAGATCACATGAATGTACTTCTGCGTAACAGATCACATGAATTTACTTCTGTATAATGGATCACATGAATGTGCTTCTGTGTAACAGATCACATGAATGTACTTCTGTGAAATGGATCACATGAATGTACTTCTGTGAAATGGATTACGTGAATGTACTTTTGTATGACATGAAAATGCTTCTGTATAATGAATCGTGTGCATTTGCTTCTGTGTAATGAATCACGTGAGTGTGCTTCTGTATCGCATTAATATGCTTCTGTGTAGGACCACTTGGATGTTTTTCTGTATAATGGAACATCACTCTTGTGTTGCTAAGGGCACACACTCTATCTGTGCTTTTTCTCACTACTTGCCTGTCACTCCTCCCGCTGAAAGGACTGCTTGAACCTCCACGGGTGTCGCACCAACCTGTGAAACTCTGCCGGTCACGACCCCCCTCCACTTCACCGGCTACAGTGTAATCAGACGTTCTTGGCGAAATCGCAACGCAGTCACACCTATCTGGGGAAGTTTGGCCCCCGAGGAAATGATCTCGCTGAATTGACGGCCCTTGGTGGTAATCGGGCTGGAACACTCTGAACGCTTCCAGATCCTGGAGCCAGGACTCATCGCTACCACCCACCCCCAACCAAGTTGGCTAAAAATGGCATTTAGCGAATCGAATCGGCCTGCAGTGATGCAGAAAGGAGGCAGGAGAAAGCTTTGTCCATGCTCATGCATCAATGAACACACAGACTTCCGAGTACCACAGAATTAATTTCATGTTATTCATCTGTATTCACATCACAACATCCACACTGTTCAGTTTGTGACAAATAAGTTCTAATAACCTCAATACATATTTATACCAAATATATCAAGAGGCACTTCCAGTAATTCTGGTAATAAAGTAGCTACAGTATTAGTGTCTAAATTACAAAAACGGTAAAAATAAATAATGTTTATCTAAAACACTTTTTATCATTTTAAGTTTTTTATCTGTACAGCATATGTTTTGTACAAAATGGAACATAAACCAGCAATAAACTGAATATTTCACTTAACAAATACTAGTGAATTAATTTTCTCCTTTTATGTATTGCTACATGTCTTAAGTGCAATATACTAGTGAGAAGAAAATGATTATTCAGTCCGTGGAGTGCCGACTATATAAAAATACAAGTCTCGTTTACACAGCTGTGACACTTGTTTGGTTCTTCTAGTTAATAATATGCGCAATGATTATGGAACTCGCATAAAAATCAAAACAGAAGAGATATACGACAGCTTAACAGCGATGGCTGTGACTTGGCTGGCAGATATGACGTTTATATGGAGACAGATCATATGAGAAGTTCAGAGAGGAGATCATAATCTCTAGTCTGTGGCCACAAATGCCTCTATTGTGTGGACTGGCTCAGCGCTATGACACAAATGATGCTTGGTAGGTCTTACAAAATGAAACCATGGGATTGGTCCCGCTGATTATTGGTATTAGTAGAATATGTGTGAGGGTCAGGCATTCATAGAATATATGAATAATTAAAGATGAGTGTGAAACCATGGCAACTGGAATTCCTCTGTGTTAAGTGGCAAGCCTCCACATGAGATTTCAGAAGACCATACCAGGTACGGCTTTGAGCAAACAATCGTCAATGACCATGACAATGTCCATACGAAATAGAGTCCAAAAAAATGACTAGAATCACCCTTTAACTAATGAATGACTGTCCTTGTCAACAACAGTCACATAAGTTCTGCTCCACAGCCAGACCAGGACCTGATACTCGGAAAGGAATGTATGAAGAATGAAGAAACAGCACCAAGCCTAATTTACTGGCTGCTAACATGTGACCACTAGCCTTAGTGTCCGGCTCACGTGAGGTGTGGGAGCTGGCAAAGCACATTTGCGCTGGAAGCGCTGGAAGAGAGGTCCTCATACGAAGAGTGGGACGCGGGACTAGCTGAAGCTGAGAGTCCACTGTGTGGACGTCAGGACGGTGCACAGGTGCTGCACAATCTCACAGGGAATTGCACAGGGGAAGCGTCTATCTCACGTTGCTGACAAGCAAAGGCTGGAGAAGACTGTCTTATGTCTACACAAAATGGGTTTTTATCTTAGATCTGAGTTTGAATTTTTATCCAAATCTCAGTTCTAAACAGAATAAATCACAATAATAACATTTTAACACTATATTCCATATTCTAACAAAGGTATAATAGTGAGAGAGATTTAATCAACAAATGTAGTTATTTTTGAATATATGTTGGCAGAAACTGATGTAAAAAGGGGATTTTTTTCTTATGATCAGATTCCTATTCTTAGGCACTCTGGATGACAATACAAGTTGTCATGACAACAAACACCTGGACTCATAACATAACAAAGCAGTGATAAAGCCGTATTAAAGCCATATCTCCAGTGTTTGGGTTGCAGGTTAATACCACTTCATTAGCTTTCTTTGCTTTTAATGTATAGGGCTGGCAGGGGGCTCCAGATAGGGGGCGCCATTCCTCATTGTCAATCTGTGGAACCTAATTAACGCTGAAGAGGATCAAGCCAGCGCACACCAAAGAGAAACCCCTTTGAGGTCCTTCAGGATTTCCCAAATGAGAGCATGCAGCACAGGGGAGCCGTGGGTGAAAGAAATCAAAGAGAATGAAAGCGATGTGGATCTAAGGAACTCTGCCCCTGTAAGAGATCAGGCAGAAACCGCATGGACTTATATATGCATAATATGGCCACAAGAAATGTATCAAAAATTAAAAAAAAAAAAAGCTATAGGGAAAGCAGACTAAATGTTGTCAAGCAGCGTTCATGGAGGACTGAAGGCATAGTAACCTAGACGAATTGTAAATATAACCTCCTTCATCAAAGCCACCCCCCCAGCCAGACTGCTGGCTTCTAGACTGAGATACTACCATAGCTGAAGAGACCAAGCTATAACACACGAGGCCTCAGAACACAAACTACTCTGAGAAACACATGGAGGGAGGACGAGGCCTGCCCTACGCGCTGGGCTGCCGGCAGACAGCTGCACTGTAACCTGGCTGACTGGTGAGTAATATTCTTCCCTAACTAATCCCCACCCTTAGAACATCATAATGAAGCGAACGGTCATGCGGAGACACAGTGTCCCCACAGTGCCTGGCAATAAGCACCCCCCACCCCCTACGTGCTCGCGATACGGCCGAGGGCCTCTGGGCTCCACACCAGCAAACCACAAGGAACAACACTTATTGTCTGACCCTGATCCCAGGCTGTCAAATGGCACGTTAAGGATCCTGTCACTGTCAAACGCGTCTACACCTGCTCATCGTGCCCTATTGAAGCCAGCTTCAGTAAGATCTACTGAAATACTCTAAGGAAAAGCTCCATGGAGGCTTTGGAATACAGGAGAAAGGGAAGGACACAGACTCCCTTAAGGGAGACATCCAAAGTGGCCAACTGGAAATGGACATCGGACTTCTGGATGACAGGTATTGAAGGAATATCTGCAGAAATGAGCCATATTGGGAGTGAGCATTAGACAAGTATGGCCAGATTGAGTATAGTGAAGTTGAATACAGACACCCAATGATATATGCAAGCCTTGTAGATGGTTATATGAAAAGCTATTGTCCACAGGTGGGAAACTTTCAGGTGACATGTTAGGACTTATGCTTGACACTTGCAACCCAATGGCAAATATCCAGAGTCTAGTATATGTCAGCTGCACAATCTCAAAAAACAGCACTAATCTAGAATATGTTCAGATATTAATAATGGTGCAACTAAGACACAGGTCTAGCCCTGCTACAGGTACATTCATCAACCCTCCAACCAATCACAAGACCACAAAAATGGCTCCTATTACGTTCAACATATCAGCTAAAACGCTGAAACTCAGATCAGCTGCTAAAGACTCCCTATGGTTACTAAGCTTAAGCGTAATCAGCTGTACATTTTTGGTACTCGCAAGTGGACTCCTATACTCCTGGAAAAGTAATACTTATTCAGAATGGATGACGACTTTCCATTTACGCCCAAAACCCTGAGAGTACAACACATGAGGGGAAACATAGTATTGCTTTCAAGAGAAATTGTAGGTCACAAATGTTTTGGCACACGGACAATTCCTTATTACATTTAAGAGAAAGACTCAGCTCCTCATTAGGAAAATGCAAGTTAGAAGGCGCCTTTCCTCCTGAATGAATTGCAGTGCGATTACAACGGTGTCAGGGACATGATGCTGGAGCTACAGAGAGCAGCTGCTTTGCTGGATTGACCTCACCACTCATCAGGGGAGCTTCCTACGTCCTCGCCAGTCCTGCCCCTCCCCCCACACCCCCCTGGCACGCTGTGATGACCTTCTTTACACTGAAAATGATCATATGGCCTTGTGAGCAGATGAAGGAGGAGTATGATGTACTTGGAGAAGGTTACTTATAAACCACGCTGTCAGTAGGTCTTGGCAAATTCCATTCATTTTTTTTTTTAAAAAAGCTTAAAGGATTATAATATTAGAAGAAGCAAGGGAAGGCTCTGTTTGGAGTGTCATTTTGACAGGTTATTTTCTGGCTATGAGAACATTGCTATATATAATTATTACTAGGGCTCCATGATGAGAAGATTTACTGAACTTACATTTCCAACATTGGTGGTGGATTACGCCTTGTGATTCTCAGGAGAAAATGAGGGCAGAATTACCATCTGGCTTTTAAGTCATCATTGGGGGATTTCTCCTTTGAATCTGTTTTGAGGGCACTTCTCCAACGCCCTGCTCAAACAGACACGCTTGGATAGAAAATGATCAACCGGCGGCCTGGTTTCATAGTGAAAAATAAAACGGGACACACACTGGGAACGAAGCTTGATGTGTTGCAATCTGAATTTGGACAAGGGATGTCCAGGCCTACAGTCAACAAAGCTTTGAGAAAACTTGGAATTTTTGGCAAAAAAAAAAAAAACCCATCAAAAAAGCTTTGGAGAAATGGGAAATGAGAAATATCTCAAAAGAACAATCCACCTTTTATCATAAGAAGGAAAATATGGTGAAATAAATTTAACAATAAGCTGAAGCATTATGGGCAGAAAGAAATGCAGGAAATGACATGTGAAAGTGCAAGGATGAGAACAAATGAAGGGACACATGGAAACTGTCCAAGCAACAGTGAACTGAGTGAGTTTCCATATATTCAGATAAAGCTTTTCAAACCAGTAGTACTTCCCCCCTTGCCCCTTCACTCTCTCGGCGATCAGTTGACAAATCCAGAGAGCTGTGGACATACTCAGGAAGGCCTGACCATGAAATGCTGTTGCTTTCCACCGTTCCTCGTAGAAAATGGGCCGGGTAATAACACCCAGAGGTGATTCTTTTCCACCCCAAAAGGCAGTGTGATCCTGTATTGCCAGAAGGAAGGTTCTTCAAATGGAGTTCTCTGAACCAGGACCTGACCTTAAAGATTTGTGTGTAGAACCTCAGAATCCCAGACGCCCCCCCCAATAAAGACCCCACCCCCACACACTTTTCTTCAGGCACATGTTCCCCGCAGCTTCTACAGTGTTGTGTCTAGGTGATGTGCTGGCAATATAATATCAAAGTCTTTTTTCATTAAAAATAAGAAAAAACACCAATGTTTTGGCTCTTGCCAAAGGGGCTTTTCTTCATGCCCTTCTTCAGAACGTGTCCTCACTCTGGGTCATTCTCATGTGCTTCTACAGTCTCGCATGATGGCTCTGTACTCTCCTCCCCAGTTCCTTCCAGCACCTCCTGGCCTCTGGATGGCTCCGCCCTGCCCACTAGGTCCTCCTCCTCCTTGTGGATGGCCAGGATTGGCCCCGTGGAGCTGCCATGGTGCCCCAACTCCTCCGCCGACGCCTGCCGCTGGGCTTCCTCCTCCGCGATCACCTTCTTCCACATCTCATGGTTCTCCAGGAGGTGCTGAGAGATTTGACAGAAGACTTTCCGTCTCTTCTTTTCTTTTTTCTTTGGGGTTCGCTTCTCTGAAGAAAAAAAAATGGAATCAGTGTTTCACTTTACTGAGAAACATCACTGAGTTGATTCAATCCAACAAAAAACAAGGTGACCAGCAGTACTACCAAAAGGCCAGGAGAAAGAGCCTCTTACGGGATGCTTCTGAGCCGCTGGAAGCGTCCTCCTCAGGCAGATCATCCTCCCAGCTTCCCTCAGCGTCTCTCTCCCCTTCCTCCTGCTCCTCTTCCCCCTCGGCCGGCTCCACCCAGTGGCCAGGCAGGAGGGCAGCTGAGTCATAGGAGTGACACAGGGGCCCCACGATGTGGGTGATGAAGGACTCCTGCAGCTTGGCCAGCTGGGGTGCGGAGCGGTCCATGAAGGGGCTGATGGGAAGGCCCAGGCTGGTCTCCTCGTCCCCCTGTGCAGACCACACACCTCTCAGCACACAGTACCCAAACAAATCAATCTAATTATATAAGAGCAGAAAATTATACTGCAGAATGATTAAAAGTTACAGGAAAGGATAAGGATCAGCAATCTGAACAGAATATATGAACATTGTGCACACGTGCAAACTGGTGTTCGACAGTAGGGCTGAATGTGAAAGGCGACCTTTCACTAACTCGTTAAATTACCATGGAAATGAGCACCAGGGCAGTGTTGACACCGGGCCATACGAGGTATATCAGTTAAAACACCTTCTGGGACCCCTGTTTGAAAGGCCATCCAGCCGCCCCTATGACCACCCTTCACGGCCCAGTCTCTTGGCCCTATCCATCATGTTTCCTCTGCAGCTGTCTGCCCGCCTTCACCTTAACCTGCTGCCTGCACATGACGCCATCCACACCCAGCGCTATGGCCCATGGTGGCCTGCAGGCTCTTCTATGTCCCTATTTATGACCAAGAAAATGGCTGCATGACCCCAAGAACAGCAAAATATCTTCTCTCAATTTGGATCACACAGCAGAGCGGGTGCAGTATTATCACGGGAGGATTAGTGGTAAGAATTTTGCACGTCTCTCCTGAAAAGAGGCTCACCTGCTCGTAGAACTCATTAACGATGCCCTGGGTCCACTGCAGGTGCAGCTCTTTGCTCTTGAGTGGCCCATTGATGTCGGCCAGCTTGATGCACATCTGGCAGACCAGCAGCCGGTCGTTCTCATTGGACCAGTCGATGCCCGAGCTCACATCATCGCCCACCTGGGACGGGAGATACAGCTTCATGGGCTTCAGTAGGATGCACGCTGGCTCGGTGCATGTGGAGACACCAGGGACGTGGTGCTCATGTGTTCACAGGAATCCCTGTGCTGCAGTGTGGAGTCTTATCTGGATTATTTTATGTCCAGCTATGGCCAATGACAGTTTGACATTCAAGTCCAATTTAAATTAATGCATTTCTCTTTGTTCCAAATGTATTTTAATAGTAGACAAACAGAATAAAAAACGTCGACTGACATATATTGACTACGAAGGTGTTGCTCCGCATTAAGTAATTTCATTCAGCTTTTCTGGCTTGGGATGGAACGGAAAATTCCTGGCTTGACACTGAAATTACAGATGTGGGGTAGAAGTTCAGATGTCGGTATCACAGCCCGAGTTTAGGGGAGGGGGGGGGGAGTTGAGCCAGGTGACTCAGCCAATGTGTCATTGGTTTAAAAAAGCTTTGCACTTGTATAGTATAATGATACAATAATAAACCAGAAATAACTCAGTCAATGATGTCAGACAGAGGCAAAGCGCTCAGTGGTTGTCACCAGCCCTACCTTAGCGTTGAACTCGGCCAGGAAGTCAAAGTGCTTCTTCAGGTCGGTGGCGAGGATGGCCTCGATGACCAGGAAGCGAAAGCGCTTGAACTCCACGTGGTCCAGGTTGACCAGGAAGTTGTACTCTGGATGGGACATGAAGAGGCTCCAGGCCGAGGCGGCGTGGTGATTCTCCAGCACTGAGCGGTCATTATATAACACCGCCTGCAGGGGGAGACACAGAGGGGAAAAAAAAGACACTTAACTTCCAGAAACTTCCAGAGTCCTACCAAAGACAATTTTTATTTTATTTTACACATTCATCACCCAGATGTGATTTGGATTCAGAGTGAGTATGGCAGATGCTGGGGCTAGGCAGCATACGCAGATGCATTACTTAAATAACTCAGATCTCAGAAAGGGCCTTAGTGTTGTAGCTTAGCGTGTGGCTAAGTGGGCTAAGCCTGTGCGCTTTAACCCCCAGCTCCCTGGGCGGCTGCCCTTCGCGGACACATGGAAACTTACTCTGTAAATAAAGTATCGATTATTATTATGGCTATTAAGCACCACCTCTGTATATGTTGCAGCTCAGCTATTGGTCACCAGTTCTCCGTGTTCAGTAATACCTCACATTGCCTTCAGGGGGAGACAAAGCCTATATAACATTAACAACATCCTACAGCTCGACAACATGTACAAAAATCGCAAGGAGGAGGTACTGAGTAAAGTCCCAGAGAGGCTCAATGAAGTCTGAGGGTTGCTAGATGGTCTAAGTATTTTCCTTCTTCATGCACGCTGCGACATGACAGTTAAGTCCACTGCAGGGTCACCTGACTGGCACCAGTGGCCACCAAGAAGGCGTTGGTCCTCCCGGGGTGGTCGTAGTCGTGCATGGCGGCCGCCACGTACAGCGCCATGAGCTCCAGGGCTGGGATGAGGCCCGACAGGCAGCCGTAGCCGTCCTCCGATGCAGCGTACGTCTTGGAAAACACAAAGCCTGCACGGCTGTGCGTGATGCCGCTGTCTGAGTCTGCAGGCAGCGGGGGACAACAAGCATTTAGCGAACGACGATGAAGTGCCGCATGAACGGTGACCATCTCACACTGGAAAACTTTGCTGACTTGTTGGAAACCCAGCTGTGAAAATACATGCTAATGTCCTTCTCAGTGACTTCCTGCTCACTGCCAGAGGGGAAGGAAGGGATTTCATTAACTAGGCATTAAGTGCCCGATTCCAGTTCTGTTTAACAGGCTTGTGAGCTTGGACATAAAGAGCATTCCTTCACTGTACAATCAACATAATCCAAAAATAAAAGTACTGCGCTGCCATGTAAAACTTACAGGATTTACAGGAATGAAGGCTAATGATTTAATACAGAAGATGAGTGAAAACAAGGCTCATAACACTCACAGCTGATTGGAAGCAGTGAAGCAGCTACACTGGTTAAGTTTAAACACTTTACATATTTACCGGAGTCACTGGCCGAGCCATGGTCGCTGAGACGCGGCAGGCCAGGCACTACCTGCGTGGTGAGGTACCAGACTGCGTGCAGCACATCTGTGGCATGGATTCTGTTGTGATCTGCGGAATTGCATACCCAGCTGTAAAACCTATTGCTGTCACTAGAGGGCAGCATTTTATAACATCTCAAACTCAGCTGTAGGTAAAGTGTCTTTCAGCTATCGGTCCCAGAAAGTGCATCTAGTGATGTTTCACAGCACAATTCACCTAGAGTTTCCATATTGGCTAGTGTAGAGATTAGAGGCAGGAAGTAACAGCTACTGATTCAACTCCCAGGGAAGTCCCTGCACTTACACCCTTGAACACAGCACTTACACCCTTGAACACAGCACTTACACTGAATTGCTTGCTTTGGATTAAAAAATTCAGCTAGGTGATTTAGTTAAAATTTTTATTAGCACTAAAAAGTGATTCATTTCCAGGAAACCTAGATGAAATGTGAGCTATTGTGTTAACACCAGTGGAGTGTTAACACCAATGGAGTGTTAACCCCGGTGGGGAGGTCACACTCACATGGTATGTCTCTGTAACCGCTCTCCAGTGCGTGAAAGTAGTTCATGAATTCCTGCAGGGGGATCTTGAAGGTGTTGAAAAGTCCGGTGTCCTCAAACAGCCGGAAGGAGACCTAAAACAAACAGACTGGTCAAAGACTGTGGTGGTAGCAGTCTCTAACCACAACCTATAACCTTTGTTCAGACCACAAGTAGTGCTTTCCCACTGCCACCAAGAGCCAAGCCATACCGCGAAGGGAAGGTTTTCCACTGTAAATTACTTGAGCTGTACCCAAGCCGTACCCGTGCAGATAGGGCTCTGCTTGCTAGCAGGATCGAAAGCGTGACCAAACCGAGCTGGTTGTGTCACCGACATGTGATTTGTTGAAATGCATGGAGTTATCGGTGATCTACATCAATATGCATGGATAATTTGAAGGAAAAAATGACATATGCTGCATATTATTCATTATTAGTAGTGTCACACATTGCGATGTATTGATGCATTTCCAATAACTCAGAACCTGAAAATTTCTAACCACCCACTTAAAAAGTACAAATTTTAATGCACGATAAAAGAGTATCTATAAACAGCTGATTGGAATGTATTTGTAATACAAATTTACGCAAGCGAATACTAATCCCGCTATGTCTTAACACCGCAATGTGTGAACGGAAATCACCACACAGAAAATCATAAGGTTCACCAAGTGAACAGTCTCTTTGGTTTTTACGTCATTGTCACTCTTCCAAACCTGACACTGCCTTCACTGAGCTGACCCTTCTGCAGGGGAAATTTAACTGAGCTGGAAGATCAAAGCGAGTTGCTATCTCTATGCGGTACAGTTTGGGAATGGCTAGGTTCCTGTATGCCGGTGGAAAAGCACTGAAAGGGTCTCCTTTCTGCCCTCAGGAATTATGGGTTAAGAATGCTCCCTGAGCACACAGGGGGAAGAGGGGCTTTGTTTCACCATAAAATACACTATTACAGTCTGGATGCCTTTGATACATACTCAGCTGTGTAAATAGACACAGTTCATATGTAGGACTCTGAAGGATGGCGGTTCTAGTCTTAGGGACCTTGATGTACATGTGTATAACCTGAATTAACCTGGTAAAATATGCAAAAAACTTACATTTGAAAAACGTTCAACCACTTTTTCATAAACGTACCAGTTATGGAACCAAAACTACGACACCAATAATAATACATATATTAAATGCAGCTCATTTTGTTCTCTGAAGGCTTAAGTGTGATGCTGATGATCATAGTCCAGTTTTTTATTCATGGTTTATCAGGGAAGGTTGGAAAAATAACATGTAGTTCCATGTTCTACAGACATCGAACCATGCAGATGAGTGTAACTCCTTCGCAGGTCCTCCTGAAGTATTCAGGCCGTGTCTGAGCACCGAGTGACCAGCCACCCGCCCTGCCCACCTGACTGAGGATGCAGCCACACTTGCCGTGGGTCTTCTCCACCAGATGGAAGATGGGAAAGTTCCAGTTGTCCAGCTGACTCATAAGCGGGTCCAGCTCCTTCATCACCAGGGGCTCCGGTGCCAGAATGGCCTTGTCCTGCAGAGAGAGAACTGCTGAGCTAAGCGCACCAGTCATCATGTTTAATGTGACTGAGGGCAAAAGTGAGCCTGGTGCCTATCCCAGGAAGCATAGGGCACAGGGCGGGGGACACCCTGGATGGGATGCCGGTCCGTCACAGGGCACAGGGCAGGGGACACCCTGGATGGGATGCCGGTCTGTCACAGGGCACAGGGCAGGGGACACCCTGGATGGGATGTCGGTCTGTCACAGGGCACAGGGCGGGGGACACCCTGGATGGGATGTCGGTCTGTCACAGGGCACAGGGCAGGGGACACCCTGGATGGGATGCCGGTCCGTCACAGGGCACAGGACACCCTGGATGGGATGCCGGTTCCGTCATAGGGCACAGGGCATAAAGGTTTCCTGTAGACCACTACGCACTTTAGCTAGAAGCGCATTCTGTTTTTCCTGAAGTACCTCTGCAGGTAGTAAGGAGTGCAACAGGATGCTTTCTGGCCGATACGGCGAGTGGCCCTCTCTCGGTCCATCTGGCTTTCTGGCATGCCCTCTGTCCTCCTCGTTCTGGGCAAAGTCGCTGCTGTCACTGTTGTTGGTCTCGTGCGTGCTGTCGTAGTCTGATGATGTGATGGCTGGATCTGAGCAGAGAAATCACACCTCATGATGATGCTAAACCTCCACGTAGCATTAGAACCAGAAATTGATGATTCTGGCCCCCTGGCTTACCCGTCCCGCGCACCTCGTCGCTCCTGTCGATGGTGGCCTGTACATGGCTTAGTGTACTGTAAGGTCTTCCACAGCTGCAGTTATGAAAGGGTGAAGCTGAAGGTCAGAATGCCAGAGGAACATCATACAAGCTCACGGCTTTAAAAGGGACTATTTGATCCATCTTATCCTTCAGACACACACAGCTGATGCAAATGCTAATTTAGCATCTCTAACATCACGCTATCATCTGGAACAACTGACTAAGATCTCATTTGCATAGATAATACCTTATTAACATCTATAAATTTTCCTTAATATCTCTAACACTTAGCTAACCCCTATGTAATTAAATGATTTTAATCAAACTCCAAGGGTAAGCTGATCCTGACAGCTGAACGTACAGACAAATGAGTAGGTGTGTTAGAAGGAAACTACTCTGACGTTCACAGGGCACACAGAAGAGATTTATTAGCCTTAATATAGTGAGAATAATGGCCAGAGATGTCATACACTTCCAAAGGTAAACCTGCAGTGCAACACAGATGAGTTTAAGAGAGAAATGGGGCAGTGACTAAGTACTCTGTCAAAAGTCAGTGATTCTCAACCATTTTTTAATTCCATGTACCCCGTGTGTCCGGGAAAAACATGTCTGGACCCCCCTAAACAGTTTATATTATTGTTTCTCTTGTATGGAGTCTGCAATGATGACCAAAATTCCCAATGTTAAAATAACATTAATATAAGCATAATATATTAATTCAGTTACACTGCCTAACAAAGTATTTTCTTTTGAACACGACTCAAGTCATTCCACTATCTGCACCAACCCTCGTTTTTTTCTCATTTTATGATTTTACTCTACAAACAGAAGGTGAATGTTTAGAACAAAAAATATAATATAAAACCTATTTGGCAAGAGGTTCTAAAAATAATAGCCTGACAGCCATTAAATGACCATTTAATAACTCATTTTTAGGTATTAGCCTTCAAAAAAATAAACATAAATATTGCAGATTATTATATTAAGTGCACCTTCATAATGAATGCATTATGAAGGTGCACTGAATGTTCTATAAATGCATAATGAATGGGTGTGTTCTCAATTTCAAATTCGCTCACCATCTCGCGTTCGGTCAAAACCAAAAACTAACATACGACGTCGACGTGAATACGCAGTGACATCTGACGTTGTGAAACAAATTTAGCTGCGAATTCTGCGTAACGTCATGACCGAAGCTTTATGCTGTTTACATCCATGAAGGAATGCTATTGGTTTCTATAAAACAATTTGAGTAAAGCACTAATTTTAATGCACAGTAAAAGTCCATCCACAAAAAAAGTCATCATATCTTGTTTTGAAAAAAATCTCGATATACCGTAAAAATTTGATATAGGTTATCGCTCAGCCCTAGCTTTAACAATATAGTCATTTTATGATTTTATGTACAATTTTCAAATAAATTGTGTCCCCCCCGAACCTCGTTGAGGCCCCTCAGGGGGTCATAGCCCCCAGTTGAGAATCACTACTCTAAATCATGGAAAAGAGCCCCTCCTAGTGGGTGGAGGTTCAGAAAGAGGCAGTTCACGATACCTGCTGCAGAGCAGCCCCATGGCAGACCAGGAGTCTGAGCTTGCAGGGGCGCTCTGGGTGTGGATTAAGGCTCTGTGGGCGTCCACCCTGGGAACATAGTCGCCCAGCGAGTACACCGGGTCGTCGAGGTCCACAGAGGAGACTTTGCTGGTGGGAGTGGTGGCAGGGCTGCCCTGGAGGGGGGACTGGCAAGGGGACACCAGAGGCGAAGTGAAGGAGGACGGGCAACCTAGCAGGAGAACAGCCTCACGTCACCATACTGAAGGAGAGATCTGGGAAATTTAACGTAGATATGTTACCCAAAAACTCGTGCACACATAGACACGCACACACATTTGTAGTCATGTCTTTGTGGGGACTCTCCATTCATTTCTAGGGGCAAAACCCTAAACCCAACAATGACAACTTTAACCCCTACCCAGCCCTAACCTTGACCAATGTATATTTTACATTGTGGGGACATTTGGTCCCCACAATGTAAAATATACCTGAACCACAGAAACACACACTCACCCACCCACACACACACACACACACACACACAATGAGCAATGAGATGGACACCCCCATAAGAAAGATACTAACACTGCTTCCTAACAGAATTAGAGACCCACTTTCAGATGTGCCTAGATAGCAAAAAATACTGGTAGTTCAAAAGAGTCTACATGCCACCTCAGATAGGACATATTAAGTAATGGTCAGTAAGAGACACCCAAATGTCTATACCCTAAGTACTGCTCCACAAGTCACAATACAGTTTGCGGAGTTTAACTGGCAGAGAAGCACATCAGTCTGATGCTCCCACACGTACCCCCTTACTCTGTCCCTCCCATTACTCAGTCTGACGCTCCCACACGTACCCCCTTACTCTGTCCCTCCCATTACTCAGTCTGACGCTCCCACACGTACCCCCTTACTCTGTCCCTC